GCAGGCGAACGACATAAAAGGTAGGAAGGGATCAAGCGGCAACTGCTTCCCTGTTTAAGCTTTGAATTGAACAAAAGCTTGAATAAAAAGCATTTGCATCAGAAATAGCGTGTCATCTTTCTTTCATCATAAAACGACCTGAATCACTGCGAGGAACACTAGCCTACAGGATGGAGGATGCAAAATTCATGCAGCATCAAGCAGCGACTGATGTTTTTTCAAAATTGCGTAACCCCGAAAGTTTTTTAAGTGTTTAGCGTAATTTCATCCCCTTGTCGTTCAGTCTCTGTGAAATTCGCTGAAACAGGAGCTCAGAGCACCCAAACAAGCTTCCAGGCTCTCCGGTGAAGTACTGGGTTTGGGCACTAGGAGGCAAAGTGTCAAAACATTATTCATGTGAGGGGAACAGAGGGAGACGGAGGGACAGATGAAACTCCCACCGAGGACTGTTTTCCATATTGAAGGCAGCACGGTATATGGAAGGAGTGAGAAAATAAGCATTCACATGCAAATGGAAGTGCATCTCGGTTTTATGCAAACATTAAAAAAAAAAGCAACGAAAAACACACACACACACACTTAAGGGCAAACAGTGGTGGAGTGCATCCACTTTCCTTTTGTTTGCCATGTTAAATGCAGATCTGTCTGCATTTTAAATGTTGAGCTTTTTAGGTGCTTGAATCTTAAACTTGCCTCTTTTTTTTGACAAGTGGGCATCTGGTAAGAGCTCCTGAGCCGCTACGTGGGCAGAGATTTTTTTGATTATGTAAATGAAAATAGAAAATACTAATATATGCAGGATATTTTTCTGTTTTGTGCCGGAATGTAAAAGTTTACTTGTGGAAGTGCACAATCTTAAATCAAATCTAATTTCACCCTAAAGACAAAATATTTATTCTTCTTGGTATATTAAAAAACAACCAGCCTGTAAAACTTGGATATTAACAGAATCTCAAAAGATGACAAGTCAAACAAACAAGTCTGTCCCGGTGCATGGGCTTCAAAGTTAACAAACGTGACTTATTTCCACCTACTGTGGTTATCACGCACCAACACTTCATCATCATGTGCCGGAAAAAGGCCACAAATTGTCGCTGCACGACGTCTATCGATGACATGTGACGTTAATCCCTTAAATAGCACATCCTCTGCATCACTGTGACAATAAGGTCGACATGTGGATGGCAAATATCAAAACGGGCAGCAGGGAATCATCATGACGGCCGTATTTATAGTGTGGTGAGGAGAGGACGAACCGATGTGTTGGGAATGTGATAAAACCTCACCACATGTTGAATCACACATTCAGTCAGAACACTTCCTAATTATGTCGACCAGCCACTTTTTTTATTTTTTAAAATCTAACTACTGTTCATGTGAGCGGGAGTTAACGCAATTACACTTCAGAAAAATTCCCAGTTGCACACACATGACGAGAAGTTAATCATTTGTGCGCTTATATTTAGCTTTTGTCAGAGGGGGGAGAAGAAAAGTCACACTGAATTTAGTTGTCGCTTTTCTCCGACAACACGTAATGAGTTATAACTCCAACGCAGCGACTCAAATTTGCAGCCCCTCCGGCAGACGACAAGTCTGAATGTGGCAGCTTTACAAGGGGACATTAAGAGGCACTTACTTGGGCTGCATTACACTGCGCAATTAGGTCCCCTTGAGGTCCACGTTTGGCATCTGAGCTCCTATTTACCCACATCTGTTTGCAACTAGTTGACCCACATTGCACATGGCTGTGGAATGTCCAGGAAAATAGCTGCAGACTGCAATCTGAGGTCCTATTTTTGACCCCAACTGCATCATTCGAGGCTTTCGGATTCCTTCGGCAAAGTGAAGTTTGATGAGGAGAGAAAACGCCTGCTCGTCTGTTCACCCACTCATTGTCATCGACAAGCTTTTAAAGCCAATCGCATTGATACAGAGAACTTATCACTATAAATAACTGCAAAAATGCAATACATATGCTAACAGCTGACAGCTGACCTTTTTCCATTCCAAACACCCGCAAGCTGGAATCACCAGCGGGGCCACATTTAACTGCAGCTGGCAGCGTCAAGATGCAAAGATTACAGCCACTAATGAATATTAGCCAACTCGCAGCCGCTGGGTATTTAGATGCAGTTCACCCCCATTGATTTCCCTGTTGGGTGAAGACAACTTTATCCCCGTGGCAAGTCCCTGGCTTATCTCTGCCGACTGCGAGGCAGCCGACAGGCCGGGTGTTTTCCTGGCCCCGTTTCAGGATGATTCCAGCCTGGCAGGTGTGAGCCAAGCTACCTGACTGTGGAGCAACACAAAGGGGCAGCAAAGAGCAGGAGGAGGGTTTGTGAAGTGGACAAAGAAGTCCAGCTGTGAGGCTGGAAGCCATATAAGGGGGGAATATACGGAGTACAGCACAATTAACACATAGGCCAGTGTGTGGGATTATCACAGAGAGCAGGTGGCGGTGAAAGGCGAGGAGGCAGAAAGTGAGAGGAAGTCCCGGGAAAGGTGACAGATGGCTGCAGGGCTGGATGTGTCCGGACTCGGCAGAACGGGAGCAAAGAGAGGGGGAACACAACATATTCTTATATTCATTTCAGCCTCACATCACAGAGCCGCGGCTGAAAAGACTGAAAAGGCTGCAGAAAACGAGCTGATTTAAACACGTTCCCATTGATTCGCCATTTGGAGTCATAGATTGCACCTTTGAGAGAGGAAATTACTTTGACACAGTGAAGAAAGTGCTGCAGTGGATGCGTCTCTACAAGCACAACGCATCAATAATTCACGTGGAGAATTAACATCATCACTCGGGTTATTTTCTTCACCTGTGACTAAGGCTGGATAATAAACTGATTAATAAAGAGGAAGCCGGTGAAACTTTGCTCGCAAGGTGTGTTTGGATTAGCATTGCAGCGACAAAGACAGATGTAGGCACTCAGAAAAGTAAGAAAGGAGAAAGATTCTCTGTGATATTTATGGATTAAACAGAGATTCATTTCTTCAAAGCCTTGCTGAGGGCGGACCCCGTGTACAAGGCCAGCTGCTTCGGTAATTCATCCCATTTATCTTCAACTCAAACACACAAAAAAAGAAAAGACTTGGGGCCATGTAAAATAGCAAAAGCCTTATCAATGGTGTCAAACGCACAATGAGCTGCGGGTCATCATTATTTCTGACTTAATGTCCTCCAATCAGGGGGAGCGACACAGCTGGAGGTGCCACCGGTTGGACACCGCTATGCTAATTCATTAGCCACCTGCTTCGAGTGAGCGGGAAGTTCACGCTTGATTAAATTTCGCCATCTTCCTCAGCAGAACGGGACAACGGAGTCAATGGTGAAGAGGTGATTGTAATGTAAAGAGGATGCACAAACCCCCCCAAAAAACCCCTCTGATGTCTGCTGTATTATTTTACTTTCCCTCCACTTGCCGTTTTATTGTTATTTTTCATTTTCCACTTTGATTACGTTGTTCAGAGAAAGTGCATCTCGTTTGAATTTCTCCCTTTCTTGTATTTTTTTTTATTTTACTCGCCCCATGGGTTATGATTATTGTGACTGTGCAAATGATCTCAAATTTTAAGCTGTATTACATTTTCTCCAAACAACAGAGGTAATGAAACAACAGCACCTCGAGAAATCGGAAGTTAAAATGATTATTTTCCACATTTGTTTGGATTTTCAGGCACTTTGTTGTGGCGATGTCCTTGTCGTGTGCTTGAGTTGTACTCTGCACTCTGCAGGCCCTCGTGGTTAATGTTCAAACCTCTGCAGCGTGTGTCGCAGCTACCAGGTGCTCTCACTTTTACAAGTATATCTGATCGGAAAAAGCTCCTCGCTAAAACATCCGAGGATCCGGCATCCCTCAGACACGTAAAAGCTTCGGGACGAGCAGCACAACATTTCTGTAGCGGTGGATGTGGAATGGGCTGAGTGCAAACCGAGCGTCGTTTGCCCCAGATGTACTCCTGTTCCCTTTGAGTCACCTCCCGTTTAACAAGATCCCAGTGGTTTCATTTCACTCTTCACTTCACTCTCTCACACTTTCACAGATGTGCACAGATTGTACAGTCCATCTAGGTGTTTACAAGTGGAGCAAACTGTACAGAGAGCAGGAGTCTCTCAGTCAGCTGAAGCCTTTAAATGAGCTCTTTTGAAGAGATTTGTTTCACTTGCGGCTTTTTCTACAAACATTATCAGCTATGTGTATCTACTATTGCACCTAATAGTGACATTAAATCATTTTAACAAAAGCAAAAGAATGATTACTTTGTCTTCAGCCGCTGCAGCTCCCATGACTGAATCATAAGAACTGTTAAAAGCTCAGAAATAATCACAAAGATCACAGTGTTAAGAACGGTAAAATGGTTGTAAACAAATGCTTTTGAACAAAACTGATCCGACACGATCAGTTTCCATTTATTATATGTATATATTGTAGTGTGGAGGGACTTTCTTGAATGTTATCTGCTTATTATGTGTATTTTCTTCATCCCAATAGTCTCTAAACGCCCATAGGTTCTATCTGTAGCGACTCACCGAATGTTATGTTTACATTCCTGACAATTATTATTATCTTTAATGTAAGTGTGTACTATGTGCACAGTGAAATTTTATGAGACCTTGTTGTATCTATTATGAAGGATTCTATGTATTCATCAGTGCATTAATGATTCTGTTTCTGCAGGATCAGCTACAAATGTTTATGCTTCTGGGTGTGCAGCTTTGCCTTTGGGTGAGTTTGAAGCATTCAATTCATAGTATTTAACTCTTTTAATGTCAGTAATTGTGAGGTACATTTGCAATTACTGCTACACTTTAGTAATGTTCTGTCATTCAATAGAATGAAGTTTTGAATTCATGCGTTACTACAGCACAAACATGCTGCATGTAAAAGTGTTTTTGAAGGTGAACAGTGTGCAGGAGTGTGTTAGAAGCTTTCTGAATCTATTTAAGGATAAAATCTGACTTGCACACTGCTGGTAGGTGTTGGTGAGTGCCGTACCGTGATCCAAGATGATGAGCTGCGCGCTGGACTGGATGTTTCCTGCATCGTTTTCCGCAAGGCACTGGTAGAAACCCTCATCTGACTTGACCAGACCCAGAACCTGCAGGTTGTGCTCCTTCTACACAAATGTACAAATGTATTGCAGTTATTATTACAAGCAGCACTTTTAATCAATCTCAGAGTCGTAATTATGATACTTACGCAACGTTAAATCATGCAAATAGATGTAGCTGCTGCAGAAAAGGTGGAAAGGTACCACTTAAGTGCCAAATTAACTTACGATTATTTTGAAGTAGTCACTGGGGATGACAGCGTCTCCATTCTTGACCCATTTAACGGTGGGAGCGGGCGACCCGGATACCTCGCACTCAAAGACGATGTCCATGGACTCGTGGGCGTAAATGTTGGCTGGTCGCTTGACAAACTGCGGAGGAACTGTGGAATTCAGATGAAAAAGGACAAATTAATCCAAGTCTCACATGTCTCCACAGACAAAATTTCAGCTCAAAATACTGCAAAGATGGTTCATTTAATCACTTCCTGGTTTTAGGGTTGTTTTAAACAGGATATTCTGTTGAGCTGATGCTGCCCCCACCTTGCTCAGGAAGGAAAGTCTCTCTGCATCAAAACCTTTTGACGCAGAAACTTTATGTGAACGGCAATTTGATAAGGAAATATCACCAAATTCATATCACAGCCGTTGGTTTTAACTCACACATATGGTAAGTTTGTCAGACTGTTGCTGTTATAAAATCAGTAGGGACACAGCTAATAAATGACTGCTGGTTAAGATGTAGTCTTAATGCTATGATTCAGTCACTATGTCATATCTGCTATACTGTCTGACAACAGAAACAAAAACGTATGTACACAAGAACAGCTGTATTGGGAATTCAGCTGAATTAAAATGCATTTTATGTGAGCACAGAGAAGCAAACAGATGCAAACATCAGCAGCTGACATTAGGTCAAACAAGAAAACACCCAGTCATTGTTGATTTTTCAAATTAGTCCTTTAGTTTCCACTGTTGCTGAATGTCCTCAGCATTAACATCCCCACAGAGCTCTGAGATATGCGCATGTGAGTAAAGCTCATGGTACCATTAGCCACATAAGCTGCACAATGCACTGGCAATATTCCTATTGTTGTGGTGGTATTACCATCAAAAATTAAAGTTATCTGCTTGGTCTTCAGTTCCTCAGATGCTGAGGGTGCATGAACACTCTTGTGTTCAGTCTTGCAGCCAACAGTAGGACATTTATGACCCTTCAGAGTCAGCAGAAGCAGCTTTAGAAAGCAAACCAATCTGATAGATGGTCAAATTCTGACCGGCTTGTAAAGTTGTGAGCCTATCCAGATGTTTGGGGACTTGAGAAATGGCAAAAGTAAACATTTTCATGTATAAACAGCTTTTATGAAACACCTCCAATAAACAATAAAATGGATTTTCACCATATAGGTTCCTTAAAAGTGAGGGGAAATGCACTACGACTATTTAAAGCAAAGGAGTGAACAAGAGGCCGAAAAAAAAAATGATATGAGTCATCCTTTCCTTTTAAAACTCAGTAACCAATTTGTGAAAACTAACCAGGCACGTCTGACTCCACTGCGATGGTCTCTGGCAGGAAATGAACAAGATTAAATGATGCCATGCCTCCCCTTCAACTGCCAAATTGCCAGTTAGCAAAGGGAGAGCGGAAAAAAGAACAACAAACAGTGTCATCTAGCAACAACTTATCCAATTACTTTCTGTGCCCTTCACACAGCTGTGACCTGTTTTTACCAGCAGGTGACACTTGGAATATTTGATAAGAAAGGTCCAGTAACCTCCGTTCTTATTTATCGAGGAACGGATGGAAAATATGTGCTACAGTGGTACCAATGCGGTGTGTTAGCATGCTACAGCAGCTATGGCGAGCACTTGCAGATCTCCCCGAGTCCTGGTAATGAGGGCCAGAAAGGAGTTATTTGATCTGCTGGGGCGATACAGTGCCTCATCAATCTGTCCTGGAACAAGGTCAGTGGGAGCGCCGGGCCCAGGCCTCGTCCTGTCTCTATAATTGGACTGTACGTGTTGTGAGAAGAGCCGCAGTAAGACGGGTTGTGTATATGGATGTGCGCGTTTCTGTGCACAAGTGCTTTTGCTGCCTCTGTGCATCTTGTGATAAGCGGCGACCTCGCTGACCACAATTTAAATGGCCGTATTGTTAGCATGCCGCTGAGTGTCAAGCTTTCGCTGTCAGCCTCCTGGGCTCTGTGATAGCTGCTTATTAGCATCTATTTTGCAGCTATTGACATGACATGATGGGATATTAGTAGCAGTGGGTGGAAAAGGTCCATTTTTTGGGCTTTATTCAGCAGAGAGGCAGGTTGGGAGGTCAAGTCTTCCTCATCTGCTCACTGTAGCAGCGGCTAATTTCTCTGAGTTAACAGATTAGCCTCCATCCTGTTGGTAATAACAGCACAGGACTCGAAAATTATAATTATTTCTAATTAAAACTGCAAAAGGAACAATATCCCCTGTAAACAGATTTCTTCAACAATAACGGCCTTATTGCAGCGCGGCTCCAGGATCCAGTGGGTTTGTATTTCCATGACCTTGAAGTGCACTTTGTCCATCTGTTTGGAATTTTCATGCTCCACACACAGAACATGGAGCAAAGATAAGAAGAGAGATGCAACTCAATGGAAGCTGCACACAAAGAGATGCTATTCCCACAAAACGCTCTCTCTCTCTGTACCCTCATTCAAAAACCAAAGGACATATGTCCTCACTTTTGTCCCGCCTTGTCTGCAAAAATCGGTTTCAATACAGTGTTGACCTTCTGAACCCCAAAACCTGCCGGCGGGTTTGAAAGGATTAGTATTTTTTAAGAAAGAATATGCAAAATTGTAGCATTTACAAGAGCTACAAACAGTAAAAACAGAAAGAATTGTTGGATTTTCTGACAGTTCCTGAACTAAGCATTTGTGAGGAAGAGCACCATTGGGAAAATTACACAAATCTAAGTGACACTTTTTTAAATTCACTTTATAAAGGCACACATTTTGTGATTTATGGCATTATAACTGCATCATCCTGCACAAAAGTATTCATTTTTTTTTAGTTCTCTCTGCTTCTAGAAAGGGTTTCCAAAGAGGTGCAGGACTTTATATTGCAGTGAAAAATAAGCCCACAGTAAGTGAAGGAGCAAATACACCCAGAAACTGCTTTGGGTTCAGAGGGTTCATTAAAAGTTCCATGAAAGACATTCACATTCTCTGTTTAAATAGACACGTAAACATGAGCATTGTGGTGATTTGACAGCAAACACTATCATGTCAGCAGCTTAAACAGACTCCTGTTGTACCTCAAAGTTTCACCAGCAGCTGTGATCATGTTAACTATCAAAACAAAAACCTTATCCAACTCTAATTTATTCGAATTTTAGTAAAATAAAACATCTGAGCGCTGAGTATGAACCATTTTTGGAAGTATATGAGTGTTTCTTGTCGACTCTGTGAATGCCTTGCCTTGTGATGGCTTTCGTGCAGTCAAAACAAAGATTTGTAATTTAACTTAAAAAACAACAACAAAAAAAAAAACCCAGAAACTAAATAAATAAACTGCAGGACCACAGTTCGATGTTCTGTCATATGGCATTACAAACGACTTTTATACGTCCATAGCCTCAATTTTAATTAATGCACATGTCAAATAGCATTCTGTGATATGAACTTTCCAAATGAAGATGCATATATTAATAAAACGAGGTACATCCTGATAAAGATTTTTTATTTTTTTGGCCTCCTATCTGATCTGAGGAATGTTATATTAAGTATTTGGTGATCCAATCCAATACCACTTTCTTAGATAATGCAAACTTCAAATATTGTAGATCAATTGTAGTACCTGGCTGTTCCACCAGGTGGAGCCTCTTACTGATTAATACTGCAGCGGCCTGAGGACACCAGAATGTTGGCAAGCAGAGAGCATTGTGGGGGTTTAGGTAGCAACGGGCCACCATGACAAAGTCTTGTGTGATGCTTAATGACCCTGGACCAGAGACAAACCAGGATCAACTGGGACAGTGTTATTGTATCCCAGAGGTATATGTAACAGAACCTTCTTAAAAAAGCAATATTTGCACAGAAGAAATGCCCATTGTGTGTATTTTTTTGGCGAACAAACAATTGATGATTGAAAAAATAATGCGTTTATTAAAAAATATTTTAAAATGTGCAGTCCTGGTGTCCTGCCATAACCTGTGCTCTCCCTTTAAAACACCTAACAGCGAACATAAACAAAGGATTGGGCTTAGGTCCATGCAGATACCGAGCAGTTTTGAAAAAAGAAGCCTAAATCGGCCCCAAATGGAACACTAGCTAAATACAACTCTTTACAAAGTGAACATATTTAACAGTGTAGGAGTAAAGCAAAGAATATACTTTCTATATAGGTTATAACAACTTAGACTTTCTCTGCTGCACAGTATCTTTCCTTTTCGCACAACTCTGAAAAAACTATTTTTTCAGCCCCACAATGTGGCAGAACAGGTCAAACGCAAAACAAGTGGATAAGTGGATAGTGCCACCGAATACCGAAGCCTTCCCTCGCCTTGCTTAATGAGTGTCTAGACGTTTCTGCGAGTCGCTGTGGTGAATATTGACGACTGACACGAGGATGGAAATGAGGCCGGTAATGCCGGCAGACTGGATCACTGTATGACTGGCAAGACAGCCATCAGCCGGCTCAGTGTGTGTTGGTGTGCTTGTGTGTATGTCTGTGTGTTACCGGTGTTCCCTGCAGGGGGATGTGCGAGCTGTGAATAATGTGTTACACAGTGTGGTGTCCTCTGGATATTTGCTTCTAGTAGGTGTGCAGCAGAGGCAGGTGGAATCCTTGGTTTACTTTGTTGTGTCAGGGACACAGCAACCGACGCACCAGTGAGTCAGTGTTTATGTGTGTGTTGCTTCATGTGTGAATATGAGGATTAGGAATGATGCTTGTTTCGTCCCTTTATTATTGCTGCTACATGCTTTACATAATTGTGTTTGTTTTTCTTCCCCACTAGCAATATGGGTGGATGTTTTTAGTTTTTTTTTTTGTTTAGTTTTTTGTGCATAATACAAGTATGTAAGTGGCTGCTTATGGATGCAAACATATGTTCCTGTATGTCCATATTGTCTCAATCTGTGCACGTGCACTGTGTTCATATGGGGTTTTAGCTTTAAACTGCAACGTCTTTGTGTCAGTGTTGTGTATTTGTGTATGTACATGTGTGCGTCGCCCCCCAGCGAGGTCTGCTGGTGACAGGTTTTGATGGCGACTGGTACCCTGCAGCTCTCTTTATCGCTCTCTCTCTCTCTCTCTCTGTTTCACCACTCAGTCCATTTTTTTTCCCTGACTCTTAATCTTCCTCTAACTCCCTGTCTATCTCTCCATCTTCAGTCTC